AGGTAAAGGCTATCCATGGTCTAGGAACCACTATAGATGTTATATTAGGCAATGTTATGTATTTGATTATGTTCTAGGTAAAGGCTATTCATGGTCTAGGAACCACTATAAATGTTATATTAGTCAATGTTATGTATTTGATTATGTTCTAGGTAAAGGCTATCCATGGTCTAGGAACCACTATAGATGTTATATTATAAAATGTTATGTATTTTATTATGTTCTAGGTAAAGGCTATCCATGGTCTAGGAACCACTATAGATGTTATATTAGTCAATGGAAGTATTAAGGAAGGAGAAGCTATAGTAATAGCTGGTACAGAGGGTCCTATTGTCACCTCTATCAGAGGTTTACTCATGCCTCAACCCATGAAAGAACTTCGAGTCAAGGTAAGTTTCTTTTATATTTCTCAGACAATTTATTGGCCTGTAGAGGTGTGTATTTGATTGACAGCCTGTGTGACATTGTGGTCTGTAGTATAAATGATTATTGGCCTGTAGAGGTGTGTATTTGATTGACAGCCTGTGTGACATTGTGGTCTGTAGTATAAATGATTATTGGACTGTAGAGGTGTGTATTTGATTGACAGCCTGTGTGACATTGTGGTCTGTAGTATAAATGATTATTGGCCTGTAGAGGTGTGTATTTGATTGACAGCCTGTGTGACATTGTGGTCTGTAGTATAAATGATTATTAGACTGTAGAGGTGTGTATTTGATTGACAGCCTGTGTGACATTGTGGTCTGTAGTATAAATGATTATTAGACTGTAGAGGTGTGTATTTGATTGACGGTCTGTGTACATTGTGGTCTGTAGTATAAATGATTATTAGACTGTAGAGGTGTGTATTTGATTGACGCTCTGTGACATTGTGGTCTGTAGTATAAATGATTATTGGCCTGTAGAGGTGTGCATTTGATTGACAGCCTGTGTGACATTGTGGTCTGTAGTACAAATGATTATTGGCCTGTAGAGGTGTGTATTTGATTGACAGCCTGTGTGACATTGTGGTCTGTAGTACAAATGATTATTGGCCTGTAGAGGTGTGTATTTGATTGACAGCCTGTGTGACATTGTGGTCTGTAGTATAAATGATTATTAGACTGTAGAGGTGTGTATTTGATTGACAGCCTGTGTGACATTGTGGTCTGTAGTACAAATGATTATTGGCCTGTAGAGGTGTGTATTTGATTGACAGCCTGTGTGACATTGTGGTCTGTAGTATAAATGATTATTAGACTGTAGAGGTGTGTATTTGATTGACAGCCTGT